GCTCCCGTTCATTGCGTGTCTCTTCAAGCACGTGCCGAGCATTTCGACAACATGCCGTGAGCGTATCCTTATGGAGATTAGCGTCTTTGTCAAGACCGACATGGCGACGCAGAAGCAGCTGCTCAGTCTTCCGTGGGTCGAGTGGTTTACGGACCTACTTGCGTCGTGCTGTATGGGGACGGAGCCCCAAGAGACGGGCGAAGACCTTGTGTTTGACACGATCGTCACGCTTTTGTGCGCTGCCATGTACACGCCGCGGGGCTGGACCGCGATGGCGCATTTTCTCTCGCTCGTGCGCACGCCGCCGCCGGCCGACGGCAACGACCGCGGCGCCAACCCGTTTCGCGCCGCCAATGTCTTTGTGTGGTCGCGCCGGCTCCTAGGACTCGTCCTTGTGCGGCTTGTCCGGAGCAAGACGATTCTCTCGCGCGCGCTGGCCGAGAACGTCCACCACCTCGTCATTTTAGCCTACTACTTGCTGCTCGGCGTCGTCGACGACGAAACACACATGACGCTCCTCCTCTCGAGTGTGCTGGACGTCGTCGACATGCTTCTCGAAAGCACAAATAAGAAGCACCGCGCGGGTTTGGTGCCGGCGCTTCGACTCTGTCGCGCGGTGTTGCCGTTGCGTGCCTGCGCGCCCGTCCTTCCGCGACTCGTCCAGAGCCTCGAGGCCGCCCTCCAGCAAGAAGTCGGGCAGCGTATTCCGATCGATGAAAACGTCCCGACGCACGAGATGCTGGTCCGTGTGCTGTGCAGCCTCGCGCTCGGCTTGGCCGGACAGCCCTCGACGGACGACCAAGCGCTTCTCGGCGACCTCACGCTCAAGATCGCTACGAGCGGCGAGTTTGCGATTGCGCTCTCCAAAGGTCGCGTCTCGATCGAAATGCTGAGCGCGCTGCCGGCTCCAACCGCGGCGCGCCTCGTTTTGGACACCCTCGTGCCTCATGGACGAGAGGACGCACTGCACCCGAGCGAGATGGCCGACTTGACGTTGACACGGCAAACGCTGTTTCCTGGCCTCGTCGCCGGCGAAGAGACGCCGCTGGACGCCGACGCCGAGAAGCGCAAGGTCGTACTCGCGGCGTCCCAAGTCGAAGAGGCGCGCATGATGGAGCTGCTCAAAGAAATCTCCAAGAAGGAGCAGGAGCGCATGCTCACCGAAGACGCCCGAGTCCAGCTGCGCGCGCAGTGGACGGACGACTGCTGGAAGCAGGTCGACGCCAAGCTGCGGTCCGAGCTGAGCCGTGTGCGCGGCGCCGAGTACGAGCTCTCGCGCCACGAGACACCACAGCGCCGCCGGGTGCGACTGGATGTGTACCTCAAGCCGACATTGCTTTTGCTCTTGCAAGCCAAGGCGCAGGCACCCATTTCTCGCGACGATCTATTGCAAAAGGTCGGACGCGTCATTGCGCAGCAGCCAAAACCTGCCATCGAGGACGACGTGGTCGACGAAGAGGCGATGCAGAACACCATTCGGAGCCGTCGCGGCACCATTGGACGGGGCACTGACTCGGACGATGACGAAGACGACGACGACGACGAGGACGAAAGCACCGTCGTCGACGACGAGGAGGAGGAAGAAGCGGCCACTGGCGGCTTGGCACCGGACGACGCCACCCGCGTCCCTCTCGAAGCCATCAAACTGCCGACCATCGAAGCGGCCAAGAGCTTGCATCCGTCCGGTGGCATTGGTTTGGTGCCAGACGATCGCATTTACCTCCAGCCGCTGTGCCGTAAAGTCGTCCCCGAGGGCTTTGTGCTTGGGACCTTTTACGTCTGTGACAACGCGGCGGTGTTTACGCCGCAGGTGCCGCACGTGCGGCCGGGGGTCGACGCGGAGTGGGCCGTCGGTCTGCACCGAAGCCACCGCTGGAAGCTCAAGGACGTGGTTGCCGTCTACTTGCGTCGGTACCGTCTGCGCGAATCTGCGCTCGAGCTCTTCTTGCGCGACGGCTCGACGCACTTTATCGACTTTCACATGGACGGTGCAAACGCGGCACTGACGACAAGCATCCGCAACGACACGATCCGGACGCTCCTCGCCCTCGTGCCCAACGCCGCGATCAAGCAGTGGCCGGGCTTTCCTGTCGCGCGTATGCTGGGCCGCCTCACGCGCGAGTGGCAAGCGCGCAGCCTCAGCAACTACGAGTACCTCATGGTACTTCGTCGGCGGTTTGTAAACATCGAGCTTGATGTATGTATCCTAGGCGCTCAACACCCTCGCAGGCCGAACGTTCAACGACTTGACGCAATACCCCGTCTTTCCATGGGTCCTCTCCAACTACACAGCCGAGCACTTGGACTTGAGCGACCCGACGAATTTCCGCGACCTCTCAAAACCCATGGGCGCCCTCAACGCGGAGCGGCTGCATGAGTACTGGGAGCGCTACCACAGCTTTGACGACCCGGTACGTCGTGTTGCTCTCCGTCCGTTCGAGTTCAGACTATGTTGTGCAGGTCATCCCCAAGTTTCTCTACGGGTCGCACTACTCGACGGCGGCCGGCGTCGTGCTCTACTTCCTCGTGCGCCTCCAGCCGTTTGCGTCGCTCCACCAAGTGATGCAAGGCGGCGTGTTTGATCTTCCGGACCGGCTTTTCAACTCGGTCTCGGACGTCTGGGACATGTGCAACTCGAGCATGTCGGAAGTGAAGGAGCTCACGCCCGAGTGGTTCAGCACGTCGGCGTTTCTCAAAAATCTAAATGGCTTTGACCTCGGCGCGCGCCAGGACGGCAAGCCGATCGGCGACGTCGAGCTGCCGCCGTGGGCGAACGACGACCCCGAGACCTTCGTGCGCCTGCACCGCGCGGCGCTCGAGAGCGAGTTTGTTTCGGCGCATTTGCACGAGTGGATCGACCTCATCTTTGGCTTCAAGCAGCGCGGCGACGACGCGCTCGCGGCCAACAATGTATTCTACTACCTCACGTACTATGGGCTCGTGGACCTCGACGCGATCGAGGACCCGATGCTGCGCACGGCGATGGAGCAGCAGATTGCACATTTTGGGCAGTGCCCGCGCCAGCTCTTCTCCAAGGGCCATCCGCCCCGCGGGCCCGCGACAAGTACCTCCGCCACAGTCCCTCGTCCGCTCGCCGTGGCGTATCAGTCGCCTGTCAAGTCGCAGTCGCCAGTCCTATCGCGGTCGCTGGGCGGCGACACTGCGATCCGCGCCATCAAGATCTTGTCGGACCGCGTCCTCGCCGTCAACGATCTCGGTGTCATTGAGCTCCACCACTGGAAGCTTCATGCCAAAGCGCCGGCCTCGGCGGTCCGCAAGTCGGACGAGCTGCAAAAGGACGGCGACGCCAGTAGTGGTGAGTGGAGGCTTTCGACAGACCGGGATCTCTCGCCGTTCGATGTCGTGCCGCGCCTCCCGATCTTTGCATCGGGCGCGCGGCTGCCGGTCGCCATCTCGGAGCACGGACGTGTGTTTGTGACGGGCGGCGCGTCGACGGGATCGATCCACCTCCGCCTTGTGGACCTTGCCAACGGCCACATACTGGCCAAGGCCAGCGTCGACGGCCACGCCGACGTCGTCACGTGTCTTGACATGGACACACTCGGCCAAGACGAGTTTCTTCTCTCGGGCGCCAAGTACGCACGCACAATGCGCTTTCCGTCGTACTGAGGATGTCGCATTAGGGACTCCTCGGTGCTTTTGTGGCAGTTCTCCAACATGAACAGTCCGTTCCGACTGCCACGCATCTCGTCGAGTCCGCTCATGGTACATTCGGCTTGCATTTTCGATTGGTGTTGATTGCATCGTGTGATACCAGGTGTACCGAGGACACGACGCGCCGCTCAGCGCGTGCCACCTCAACGCGCGCCTCGGTATCGTCGCGTCGGCGTCAGCGTCCACGTGTCTTGTGCACAACGTGCACACGGGCCACGTCCTCTTTCGCGCGACCGCCGTCGACGACGCGACGTTCGAGCAGGTTGCATCGTCGCACCGCGGTTTTGTCGTAACCCGCAGCACCGTACGTGGTTTCTGAATACTATCAAGGTATCAACATGCACGGATTAGCGGCGGCATGGCACAGGCAGTGTGCTAGCGATATACACGATCGCAGGGACGTGTGTACGCGTCCACGACCTCGAGCCCTGCAGTAGCATCATCGTCTCACCGGACGGCGGCCTTGTGCTCGCCCACCTCGAGTTTGCCGTGCGCGTCTACCGTCTCGACGAGTACGTACTTGCCGTCCCTCGTGCGATAAGAACTGAGGATACATGATCGACTAGCCTAGCGATCCTGCACGAGTACAAGACATCGACCGAGTTGCCGGCTGCCATCACGTGTGGAGCCATCGGCCCGTCCGAAGCCATCATGCTCGCGGTTACCGGCCACGCGGACGGAAGCCTCGTGTGGCACCGACTGCCGGACGCCGACGGCCGCGTCTCGGTGCTCGGGTCAGTCGGGCGCTTCCTCAACATCAACTCGCGCCTCAAGGTCGTCAAGGGCACGGTGCAGCAGGCGCAGACGCTCGCCATGACGACCATGGACAATGCGCGCGCCGTGACCAACACGGCCAAGGACATTGCGGGCGAGGCCAAGACGCTCATGCAGAGCATCTTTGGGCTTCTCAAGTCGGGCTAATGCAATTCCTTTTGTTTTGAGATGCAAGAAATGCACACGGTCGCCACTTCGAGGCCGGCCGGCCCATTTGGCCGACATGCCAAGGGAGTTCCGCGAGGTGGGGCGCTGAATTTGGCTCGTCCCGCAGCGCTGTCCCCGACCTGTCCTTGATCTTTCTCTTCCAATATGACATTGTGTGCACTGGTATGATGGCCTCTCAGTCGCTGGGTCGCAAGTGGCTGGGTCGTCAAAGGCCCACTTCAACAAGGGCGCGGACCACGAGGCGTGCGTTTAGACTGCAACCCATATATCGTTTTAAACTATATAGGCATTGTTTCTGATACTAAAATAACGCCCTTTTAAACACCTTGAGCTCAGTATGCAGGACACGATATTGCGATCTTTCACTTGCAGATTTGCCACGTATGACCAGACTGGACGTGTCGTCCAGCCCAGTGCTTGCAGGCGCACCGCCGGTGCGTGCTGCGACGTCTGAGCCCGATGTCAACCTCGGCGAGCATTGGCGCTCAAGAATCAAGGCGCTCAACATTTTCAAGAGCACGTTTGGCCATTTGCACGTGCCGCCGGACTTCGTCATTGGCATCACCGAGCCATGCCGTATGTGGACGGTGGCCATGGCTCGGTGATGCCAATGACGAAGTCCGGCGGCACGTGCAAATGGCCAAACGTGCTCTTGAAAAAGTTGAGCGCCTTGATTCTTGAGCGCCAATGCTCGCCGAGGTTGACATCGGGCTCAGACGTCGCAGCACGCACCGGCGGTGCGCCAGCAAGCACTGGGCTGGACGACACACTCTTGCCGCTGGCAGTGGCCCAGCTCGAAGACCTCGGTTTCGAATGGGCGCCCGTGTCGTTCGAGTCGATCGCTGCGGGGATGCAGCTCTTTGCGACCACGTTTCCCGTCCACCCGCCGCGTACATTTGTCGTGCCGGCGCAGCCACCGTGGCCTCAAGACCTCTGGGGCGAAGACTTGCTCGGATCGAATGCCAAGCGCGTTGCTTGGCTCGACACGACGACGACCGAGTACAACCAGTCGCTGGCGTTGTGCCGGGTGCCGTCGGCCACGCCGTCGGTGCCAACGGGAAGACCCGTGTACCCGCAGGACGTCGTTCTGGCTACGATCGCACGCTACACGACAATGTACGGACGGACGCCCGTGCCGCTGCGTCCCCCAGTTCAGCAACGAGTGGCCCATGGAGGCCTCTTTGATGCCTCTCGGCTTCTTTGTTTGGGCGATGCGCGACCAGTGGGCTCATCTCAACCCGAGCGCGTCGATGATGCTCGAAGCGCTCGGTTTTGCACCCAACAACACTGGCGGCGTCCATGTTGGTGGCGACAACGACGTCGGCGACGCGGCGCGTGTCCAGGATCAAGCCCACGGCAACATGGCTATGCATGCTGAGCCTGCACCGGCCGCTGGGCAAGCGCTCCCGAACGGCACCCACGGTGACCTGCCGCTGCCAGGTTTTGCCAACGGCGATCCCGTTCCCCACGCTCGTCTGGACGACATGCAGGACGACTCTGACGACGACGCCCTCATTCGTCATCGCCGTCGCCCTCGGTCGCCGTCGCCGGAGGTCGTTCGCCGAATGCGCCGACGCGTCGAATGATTTCAACTCCACGATGTGCTGCCGCGCGAGCAAATTGCCGACAAGCCTGAAGAGCGCGCGGGGTTCGGCATCTGGGGTATCGTCAACGACCTTCGCAACTGGATTTTCCAGTAGTCTCCGAAAGAGTCGACTGAATGAGGCTCCATGTCTTGTGGCGAGCTTAATTTGGTCCTTCGTTGTTGTTTGCTTCTAGCCCGACGCTGTCGTCTTCCCCCGGAGACGCCAGCGACTGCGGTGGCTCGATTTGTCATACAACCAGTAGCGACCGATCTCGCGTACCGCTTCGTTGGCTTCGGCAAGATCGAGGACAACAGAAAAGCTCTCGCATGTCACCGCCAGCTAATAAGGGTCGTCTCAAATACAGCAGTACTCCATACATTCACGCAACTTGTTAGACTACGCCGGACGGCTTGCGCGACCGACGTGTCGCACGGGGCAGTGCCGGCGAGTAGCCCGAGACCAGGTCGAGCTTCGAGTGGTCGGGCACGTGGTACTCGAAGCCGCGGGCGACGAGGACAAAGCCAAGCAAATTGAGGAGCACGAGGCCCGCGAGGATGTAAAAGACGAGCTCGAGCGCCCCGTCGTTGAGGTTGGTTGTGACCCAAAACGAGAAAATGCTGTTGACGCCACCAGCCACGACCGACCCGAGCGTCGTCGTGAGGAGGTTGAGCGCTTGGCACACGCTGCGCATGGACTCGGGCACCTCCGAGTAAAAGAGGTCGTACGCTACACCAAACACACATCAAATCGCTGGCGCAAGACGCACACGTACAAGGAATGCTCACGAGGATCTCGGCGACACCGACAAGAAGGTACTGCGGCGTCTGCCACCACACGCTGATCGCAGACATGGGCAGTCGCTCGGACGCGTCGGCGCAGTTGGAGCTGAGTCCCTCGAGCAACGGCGATTCCTTCCGGGCGACTTCGATGGCGCCGGCAACCACCATGCAGAGCGCAGCAACCACCAAGCCGGCACCCATCTTGCGCAGAATGGTAAGCCGGACGCCACAGCGCTCGATCGCCGGGTACAAGCACTGGTTGAAGACGGGTACAAAGACGAGGATGACGATCGAGTCGAACATCGACAGCATCGCCGACGACACTTGGGTCTCGCCGACGCGGAGGTCCATTTGGCAGCCTTGCAAGATGAAGTTCATTGTCTGCTGGCTGTACACGGCCCAAAACACGATGAGAAACCCAAAGTAGGGCGAGAGACGGAGCACTTGGCCGACCTCGCGCGTCTCGGCGAGGCTGCAGTCGCCGCCGTTCTCAATCGCCGCCGCGCGCACCCAGTCCGTGTTGCGCCCCGTCGCGATGAGCACGAGCGTGCCATAGACAACGAGCGCGGCGCCAGCGAGCGCAAGGGCGAGGTGCCATTGTGGCTCATCGACAAAGTACGAGGCGGTCGTGAGGATGATGGCGGGCACAAAGGCAAAGCCGCCCGAGAGCACGAGCCGACCTTTTCCGGAGCGTGACCCGGCAAAGACGAGGATCTGCACAAAGCGGCTCAGCGCGCTGCCCTGCGGCGGCTTGCGCACGTAGCGCTTCCGGCCCGAGACAAAGATGACGAGCGCCAAGCCAAAGGCGATCGTGGGAATGAGGAACGACGC